AAAGTCGATTTTTCCCAAGCTAGTGAATATCTGAACAATACTATCAAACAGACTCTGTAGTACTTCGCCATTTCTGGATATGTAATGAGAAAGTGCTCAAGAACAATCGCCGGGTCCTCAGGTGGAAGCACTACAGAAAATAATTTTACAAGGTGAAGCTACATTACACTGCATCCTTTACACAGTATCCTGAAGGAGAGTTGGACCATTTCATAGACTGTTTTACTGCTTATGATAGCCTGAAATTTAAACTAGGTATTGTAAATAAAATTTTTAAATAGGCTATTTTAATAATTTGTTATGTATCATGCCTAATTCCAGTAGAACCAGGATTCTCTGGTTTTTCCAAAGGCTTGTTTTACTCAAGCTCAGGGCCTCATTGGAATGAATAATCTCTTAATAACAGCATAAGCAGACATAGGACAATAGTTATGTGAAGAAATTTGTCTTGAGACTGGTGTCCTGTTGAGTACAGATAACCTATTTAAAAAATCTTTGGGGGATTTTATGCCTATTGAGGCAGATTATTACACAAAAACTGTACATATATAATGTCTCTTGCATTTTTATAATTTGGGATATAGTCATCTACCCATAGATATCATAATCAAGGCACCAAACATACCCAGCACCTCTAAAAGTTTCTCTGTGATTATTATTTGCTTGTAGTAAGAACATTTTACATAAGATCTATGCTTTTAATATATTTTTAAATATGCAATACCATATTGTTAACTATAGGCATTATTTGATAGAACAGACCTCTAGAACTTATTTATCTTGTATAAATGACACTTTATGCCCATTAAACATAATTCCCTGTTTTCAACACCCCCCAACCCTTCACAACCATTATTCTATACTTCTCTGCCTCTATAAATTTGTCTATTTTAGACACATCATGTAAGTGGAATTGTGCAATATCTGTCCTTCTGAGCTGGCTTATTTCATTTAACATGGTGTTTCTAGGTATATTTATGTGTTACAAATGGCAGGATTTCCTTCCTTTTAAGACTAAATAATATTCCACTGTGTGTATACATCAATTTTCAGAACCCACTCTGATAGTCTTCGACACATTACATGACCAAAGTCAACAAATACCTCGTAAAGAAAGACCTATATATAAATTAATCTTTTGATATTCATTCATTTAAGTCCAACTTGGGCAAAATCTGCACTACTCCTGGGAGTGTGTGTCAAGCAAGAGGAAGGAAGATCACAAGTTCAAGCCCATCCTGTTAATTTAATGACTTTGCAAAATCCTACCTCAAAATTTTAAAAAATAAACTAAGTATATGTTTGCAGTATATGCAATTTACGATCATCTTGGGGAGTGGATATATGTACATAATACAGATTGTTTCATTTTTAATCCCTTTCCCCCACACCTCCCTTCCTACTCCTCAATATTCCCTTTCCTCCTTTTCGCTCTTGCTGATATTACTGGTCTTAGCTTATATTTATGATATATAATGCTTATATTCATTGAGGTTATTATTTCCTGTACATGGCATATCTTTATTCTACTCATTTCTCCTTTCTCTCACCCTCTCCTCTTAGCCTCAGTCTCCCAGACCCCTGCCCATTGCAAAAGATCTATCCTCTTACCTCCTTCATCCTTGATTGTGCTCTTTGTACTTTGCCTTACTCAAATGAAAGATACTATATAGTATTTAAGCTTATGCATCTGATTTATTTCACTTAACATTATATTTTCTGGGTGCATCTATTTTCCTCACTGTGTCAAATTTGTCCTCTGTAGCCAAGTAGTATTACATTATGTATAGATATCACGTTTTCTTTGTGCAATCTGTTAATGGGCACATGAGCTCCTTTCAGGATTTAGCTGTTATGAATTGTGCTGCTACAACACTGGCATGTTTCTGTCCCTGTAGTGTGATGTCTTTAGCTCTGCTGCAAGATATCTAGAAGATACCTAGATACCTAGAAGGATAGCTAGGTCATATGGAATTTCTAATTTAGTTCTTTTTTTTTCAGTTTTTTTCCATTCAGTTTATTGGTGCATTTAAAATATAGAATACAATGACATTCATCATTGTGAGTTTGTACCTTTGCATGATATATCTTGGCTCTTATTTTTTCCCCATTCCCCTGCTCTCCCTTTACCCTCTCTACTCCTCATTTACAGACTGTTTCCTTTTCTTTCCTTTTCTTTTCTTTTCTCACACTTATTCCTTGCCCTGGAATTTCTAATTTAGTTCTTTGATAAATCTCCATACTGATTTACATGATGGTTATACTCATATACATTCCCACCAGCAAAATTGTCAATCATTAAGTCAAAAAATAGCAAATGCTGGTGTGGCTGTGGAGGAGGAGCCCTCAAATTTAAAGGCTGGGAATGTAGCTCAGTGTGAAGGCCCTGGGTTCAATTCCCAAAACAGAGGTAGGAGGGGGGATTCTAATGCTCCCAGAATACAGAGTGCGAAGGGAGACAATAAGTTAGTCAAAGAATGACACATCCTACGATCTCGATCCCGTGGAACGACTAGTGCACTGCAAAGGGTGTGAAGTGACTGAGAACAAGAGAACGGTGCCCCACGGCTGGCCCATCTACAAGACTGCTGGCTGTAAGGTCTGTGCTATTTAATCTTTGTGCTATGTAACCTTTGTTCCTCTTCTGCAAACACCCACTTTAGGCCCTTTACAGTGAAATAAAAAGAATAGGTAGCGAAGCAAGAGACCTCAACGAAAAGACAACGGATGGAGAAAAGAAAAATGTGAAGAAAATATTATTTTTGTGAAACTAAATCTGCCTAGGAAATTGCAAAGAAAGTAATTGCACTAAAAAAAGTAATTAGCAACATAGAATACAGGATGGAATTCAAAGGAAATGATTAAAATTATAAAGGTATTCAGAAGTGTGGAAGAAAAACCAATGGAGATCCTTGGAATATGGAATGGAAAAAAATCTGTGGTAAACAATGTTCAAAACACAACAGAAGATATTAAACTAAGAACCTTCAGTTCAGTCTGAACTAACAAAATCAACAGAAAAACAATTGCCAAATATATCTTTATATTTATATATCACCAGATCAGTGTAGAAATTTCAGGTAAGCACTGAAAGGCAAGAGAGAAATCAGAGCTACAGTGATACATCTGGAAGCCTCTGATATATGCATAATATTTAAAGACATAATAATTCAAAAGTTGGGCAGGGGTAGGACAGAAAGTTGACCCAAGAAATTCCAGTGTATTCCAGCATTTGTGATTTGGCAGGAAGACTATTGAGAAGGAGCACTATGAATGAAGGGAAAGTGAATGAAATAGCCAATAAATACATAAAGAACGCTAAGCTCCATTAGGAATTAAATAAATACAAATTAAATTTTTAGACATAAAATTGGACCAATTATATGGATAAGAATTAGGAAATTTGACTAGTCTCAACTAGAAATCAATATTACAAATATAATTATAAATTGTGGATATCTTTGATGCAATAATCCTATTTTTAAGTATTTACCATCCTGAGATAGTAACTGCACAAGAGTGCAAAAATGCAAATTCATCATAGTACCTTTTCTTTTTTGTTTTTGTTTTTTGAGACAGGCTCTCACTGTGTAGTCAAGACTGACTTGGAACTCACTATGTAGCCTAGGATCGTCTCAAACTCACAGCGATCCTCCTGCCTCAGCCTCCCGAGTGCTGGGATTACAAACATGCACCACCATGCCCGGCTTGTAGCACCTTTTATAACAAGAAAAGGCTAGATTTCTGCCAAGAAGGAGGGATAAATTAATTATGATACATGAATATAGTACTGTTTAATTTAGTTGCCAAATGATGATAGTATTCATGTACTTACATATATAAATATATATTCACACATATATGTACACATTTTTACATGATATATTCACAATATAATAAAAAAATTTTATAGAAATATATTAAACAAAATAGATAACAATACAAAGGCGTTGCAGTGATACAATCCGTAAGAAATTTTAGTAAGTATGCAAATATGTTTTTGCATGCTTGTTATGGTTTAAATATGAAATGTCCTCTAAAATCTCATATAATGAGGACTTGATGCCTAATGCAGTTATGCTCAGAGATGGGGCCAAGAGCAGTGACTGCATCATTAGGCTTAATGGACTGTGCTGTTGGGAGACAATGGAAACAAGAGGGGAGGACTTGTTGAAGGCAGTGGACCACGGGGGCATGATCTGGGGAATCATATCTGTCCCTGGCCCCTTCTTCTCTGGTTCCTTCCCTTTCACTGCTTCCTGTGAGGCATGAGGTGAGGGTCTTTCCTCAACCATATCCCTCCATCAGGATGACTCAGCCATACATCGACCTAAGAGTAAGGAAAGCAACCTACCAGGGACGGAAACCTTGGAAACCCTAAGCCAAAATTAACTTTTTTTCCTTTAAGCTGTTCATGTCAAGTATTTTGTCACAAGATAGAAGGCTGCCTAATATGCTACTGGTCCAGAAGGATAGACTCAAAGCATTAATAAGGATTCTCTCTGAGGATTAGAATCATGAAGTTTCCATCCATACTTGGCTGGCCACACTACTTTGGGGTCTGTGGTAAGGAAGCATATTATAGTGGAGGCAGATGGCAGAGAAAGCTGTTCAACTCATGAAGCGGGACAGCAAAGAAAGAAAGGAAGAAACCAGATCCACAATCCTCTTTAAGGGTATGTGCCCCAGAGACCTAAGACATCCTATCCCAGCACCATAGCCTGGGAATCAAACCTTTGATGGATGAGTATTGGGGTGTATTCCAGATCCAAACTGCTGCCCCATATACATGATACAGAAATTAGTTTCCTTTTCCTATTTACAAGACTTTGTTTCCAAACAGCTGGGATATCTCCATAGATTAAACATGAATTCCCCATATGTGTCATGATATGGTCTCTTCTGTCCTTTAGGACTCTTAAGTACAGTCACACATTTAGTGAAAAAGACACATCCATCTGTGAAATATGTGATCAGGTGTTTTTCATTGATTTACTTACCTAAACCTGAAGAGTACAGGTCAATTATTCAATACAATCGACACACGAGGAGTAAGTGGCAGCTCTTGAAGAAACGTTGCAGAGTATTTCACAGCAAACTTCTAAAAATATATAAATAGGAGTACAATCTAAAGTGATAAAACTATTGCATAGAAAATGTATAAACTAGTAGTAAATTTTATTACAATTATCTAGTAGTGCATAATTATATTTGCTTTTTTCTTGACTGGCAGCACAGTTTAAGGTGGAGGGGGTGAAGGGAGGGCAGGGATATGGGGAAAAATAAGTACCAATATACATCATGTAAAGGTACAAGATCCCAATGATGACTGCAACTGTACTGTATACCTAAAAAAGTACCAATAAACTTAATGAAAAGAAAAAAGAGGTATCAACTGGAAAAAAAGAATAAAATGCGATAGCACAGGAAATGTAGATAGGCTTATGGATTCTGGGAGCATGATTGCATTTTAAATTTTGTTAAGTGCTTTTCGTGTAATACTAGATGCAAATTTTTTCCTCCTATCAAAAATTTACATGGCTTACAGCATTGCATAATATCCAAATGTTTAATAAAATCTTGTATGTATAAGATAAACCACCAGAAAAAAGTAGATTCTTTTTTAAATTTTGTTTAAGTATCCCATGCCCAGAATATCTTAATATGTACCTCATATACACAAATATTCCAAAATCTGGAAAATTTTAAAATCTGAAACACTTTTGGTGGCAAGCACTTGTGTAAGGGACACTCAACCTGCATTGTACTTTAAAAGCAAAATCAACAAAGTATTTTAACTTTGAAAAAGTGAAATACAAATACTTTCCTCCTCATTCTCAGGCTTTTATATATGGCAGCTGTAGTGAACTCCATCACTGCAACTACCTCAAGAAGAGCCCTGAGACTCCAAAAATAGCTGCTCTGGGAGTCTGTCTGGAAGACCTCATGTCAGGATGTGGTGTGGCAGAGCTTGAGCATGCCAGAGAAGCTGTTAAGGAGGAAAGACGACCCAAGTTTGAAGTGTGTGTTTACTTGTTTAAAAAATTCCTAAAGCTCTTAGATTTAAAAAAAAAAGAGAGAGACACTTTTATCATAGTTCTTAACAATAATTATCCACAGTCATATTTTTGCTGATTTCATTTTTATCACAGGCAGGTATTCGGTGGCCACATGATCTTACTGGAAAGCCTAGAAGAATTAAATATCTCCTTCTCTTATCCCCCAGCCCTTTGTCTCTGTTTCTGTGAAAATACCTGTCATGCAGTAGCTCTTGTCTCACCTGATTGGAAACACCTGGAGGTCAGGAACTATCTTGTTTTCCATATGTGAATCCCACTGCAGAGAATATTTGTACCAGATCAATAAAGACTTGGAGAAAGAATAAATGAATGTTCTTAAAGGACACCAATATTGAAAGTTGTAGAAATGATACTTGCAATTTCTTAAATTGTAAAGGTGTATAGCACCAACTATATGTAAAGGGGGCAATGTTTCTAACAGCACGAACTGAGCTCCAAATATATATAATATTTATTTTATAAACTTTATAAGAACTCAAATCTGAGGGGAACAAAGAGCTTAAATAACAAGAGATTGTTTCAATATTTGCTTTATTCTGCACTTTTATCATTGTTTTCTGAAATAAAGCCTCTGGCTAAATCAAGATAAACTATTGTTATACTATGGATAGTTCTGCCTTACAAAAAAGTATGTTTTGATGCATTAAATATAATTTCTCAGCTTATTCAGGTAATAGTTATCACTTTATTAATTGAAATTATCTTTTAATTCATTAAAGCTAGAACTTCTTGAACATTAAAAATTTAATTATACACACAACTTAGCATTTTTCTTATTTATTTTATTTTTTATAAGATGATAATTTTTAGAAATTCTTTCCTTGCTCAACCCCTTCTGAAATTAAAAAAAAAAAGTCTATCTTACTCTAAATTTTAAATAGGTAAAATTTTTATTAAAAAATAGCTTTCTCTTTGCATTTCAAGTGAATCTGAAATTATCTTTTATTTTATTTATAAAATAAAAATGATACACAACATGCTTTGATATATGTATGCATTGTCACATGGCTAAATTAAGCTAATTCCCAAATTAGCTATTACAAATTATTATATGTGTCAATTTTGTTGTGAAATCTACATTAACAATTTTCAAATATATGCTATACTGTTACTAACTATGCTGTATAATAGATACCCTAAATGTGTACCTCCTGTCTGACATTTTGTATTGTGTGACTAACATCTTCCCAATCCAATCTGTCTCCCAGGCCATGGGAGCCACCATTCTATTCTCTACTACCATGAGCACTACTATTTTAGATTCTCCATATAAGAAATGTATCATGCAGTATTTGTCTTCCTGTGCCCGGCTATTTCACTTAGCATAATGTTATTGCAAAGGACAAAAATTACATGATCATATCAATAGATACAGAAAAAGCATTTGAAAAAAATTGTGTCTTTTTATGATTAAAAAAAAATCTCAATAAATTAAGTATAAAAGGTATTATGGCTTGTGTCTATATGCCTCCCATCCCAAAGCCTCCTGTGCTCATAGATGGAGACTTTGAGAGGTAGCTGGATCATGGGGTGTGATACTAGATTAGTGTGTGTGATATTGGGATTAAGGATGTGTGACAATCAAATTGGTTCATCCTAGTTCTGGGTGTGGCTAATGGAAGCCACACCCTGGGTGTGGGTGGCACCGATCGATGGGCTTGTAGCCTGCATGAAATATAAAGAGACAAAAGGAGGCAAGTAGATGGCTTGGTGCTTCCTGCCTACCCTGCCATGGACTGTTTCTCCTCAGTCATGCTCCTTTGCCATCCTACCTTGCTTTGGACCAACTATAGACTGAAACTTCTACAAACTGAGCTAAAATAAACTTTGCCTCCTTTAACTTTGAGTGTTGGATACTTTGTCAGCAAACAATAAAGGTAACTAAAACAGGAGGAACATACCTCAACACAACAAAGGCCATACATGACAAGCTCACGATGATCAGATTTGCTTGAGAAAAGTTGTAAGCTTTTCCTCTGAGATCTGGTACAAGCCAAGGAAGAATACCACTCTCACCACTTCTTTTTGACATAGCCCTAGAAATCTCAGGCAGAGCAATTAAGCAAGAAAAAAGAAATCAAAGACATAAATATTGGGAAGGAGGAAGTCAAATTGTCATTGCTTGCAGACAACCTGATCCTATATCTAAACAACTCTGAAGAGTCTATCAAAAAAACTGTTAGAGGGCCAGGGATTTAGCTCAGTGATTCCATTGCCTTCCTCACAAGCACAAGGTCCCAAGTTCTATCCCCAGTACAGAAGAAAAAAAAATTATAAAACTATCCCTTGATCACATCAATGCCTTATGATCTTCTGCTTCAAAGTTATACACATGGATTTTTCTCAGATTAATAAATTATAAAAATCTATATAGTTGAGAGTTTGTCATAAAGATTCACAATTATGAAAAAGAACTAATACATAGCCAGATACTCAAGAGCTATGAGTTCTAGATTCTAGATTCATTCTATATTCTAATGACTCTTGACAACTCACCTTTGTTAAATGATTTGGGTTTGTTAAGGGGCTTTGTGTTCTACAATCTTCAAATGGAGACACTAGCAACAAACCATGTCTCCAAAACTATAGTATATTGTGGTTTACAACTGATTTCAAAAACTGCTTTGGGATATGTAAATTTTCTTAAGTATGCCTCATTACCTTTATTCTACTTTAATTTTCTTATGTGCCATTTATTACCATCTAAAATGCTATAGCACACATTTATTTATAATATTTTTATTGTATTTTCTCTCTTGCTCTGCTAAAAGGAAGGGTAGGAATTTTCTTTGCTTCCTTCACTGGTACATGCCTGGCACCTAGAAAAGTGCCTGAGGCATTGTACCCACTTAATAAACGTATTGTGGATCACTATCTAGACTTGGATTGCACATACATCAAAATTAATTAAACAAATCAACAACTTTAATTCTTATAGGAAAAGTAATGACTTTACCTCCTATAGTGCAAGAAAAGAAATACACTATAAGGCAATTTTTACAGACAAATCTAGATTAAGCACAATGCTTAGGAATCTGGTTTACTGAATTCCTAGATGTATTTTTTTTTTCCAGTACTGTGGATAAAACTTGAGTCCTTGGTCCTTGCGTTCGCAAGGCAGGCAGCAGCACAACTGAGCTAAATCCCCAGCCCATCCTTTAAAAGAAGTTACTTTTAAAATTCTATTTTTGGAAATTTTTCTAACACTTCATGGTTAATAGATAATAAAGTATAACCTTTCTTCAATTGTTCACAACTGCAGAATCTCAGGTCATTCATTCTGAAATCATTTCTCATGTAAAAATAAACCATAAAAATTTAAAAATGTGGTAGACAAGTTGAAAGAGTGCTGATCATAATTAAATTCCTAAATGTGAATTAATTTTAAGGTCTTTATTAGTTTCACCTTAAAATGAATTACTCGATATGAAAAAACATCACTTAGTATACATCCCTTACCTTTAAAAGATCTTGTTAGATAAACTTTAGAAAGTATTTATAATACCAACTTGCAGCTGTGCAAAGGCAGAGCTACCCTGAGGCTAAACACATAAAAAGTTTCACCTGAAATGGAGAAAGCCACAAGGCATTTCTTATCTCAGGTTTGATATGTCTGTCTCTTTTTAATAAAAGAACTTTAAATTCCCAGGCATTCTTATCAGAAGCAGTACCTGGTTAAATGTAGAGCAAAAATAAACTTGACATCCAAACTAGGACACTTAAAATCAAAGCAAAATACCTTTACTCATTACCTTGAGACACTAAGCCTCCCGTCACCACCGTGGTTCTATAGGTAAGACTGGCCAAGGCTTCACAACCCTATAGTCCATGTATATCAACCGATTGAGGGTAAAACCACTGCCATATGTATACTAACAACCAACTGTTTAATCCTGAAAAAGTTCCAAGTGTAAACTAACAGGCTAAAAGGCTTGTTCAGTCAACCTGGGCTTTATCTTTTTTTCATTGTTATGCTTTATATTTAGTTGTCTTCCCAAAGCCCCTTGTGCTCAAAAATGGGACCTTTGGATGATAATCGGATTGTTGGGGTTTACAGATGAGTTGCTGTTAGGAAGTGGGTCAGACTGGAAGAGGTGTGGCATGGGGGTTCAGCTCCCTCCCCAGGCCCTCTCTTCATTCTCTTTCTGCCTTGCCTGTCATGCCATGATCTCCTCCATCATGACCCACTGCCGTGCCATCCTGCCTAAGACCCACCACCCACCACCATGCAGTTAGACTATGGGCTGAAGCTTCTATGGACCGTGAGCCAAAATAAACCTTTCCTTCTTAATTTATGGGTACTGGGTATTGTGTCTCAGCAATGAGAAAAGTGACTAAGATAGTCATTAAAGTAGAAAAAATCAGGAAAAGAAAGAGTACTCACCATAAAGAAAAACACATTTGTTGAGAAATCATTTGAAGTATAACAAGAATTGATTAACACAAACTGAATTTACTATTGTAGGACATTGTCTTAAATAGGGTTTAAATGTACTCCCAGAGTTTGTATCAGACATAAGATCCAAGCAGGACAGTCTCTTGTTTAATTATAAAATTAAATTATAACAATAAACTGAGCTGTTTCCTGTGCCGCTTAATTCACTATCCAATTATGTTTGCAAAATACATATAATAAAACTTCACACTGTTTCTTTGGAGCTATCCATGAAGGAAATTGCAAAAATAACAAGATCCAGTAATTTTTACCACCCAAAATGCTTTTTAAAACTATTAGAAAGAAATAGTATGCTAACTTCAACCTTGTTAAGATCATAATATTCTAATTGATAAAATTAAGTTCATTCCTAATAACTATTGTATAAATTGGTCACATTTTATAGAACAGGATCTGTTAGGCCTTTTATTTTGATTTAACAAACATAACTGCAATTACTTTATGTGTCCCGATTCTCCCTTCTACTTAGTGGAATGATTACTTATCATTGACGGCATTGCTCTGTTAATGAATCCAAGACATCATTTTGTTGATTTAGTCATTTTGCAGTGCTATTACCTACCATCATCATTTTATATTGCTGAGGAAATCCCAAATACCATCCTATTATCACTAGATTATCAACCATCTGAGATACTTCAGTCATTGATGTCTATGCTTTTCTTTTTTTTTCAGGCTTAAGAAAGATTGTTTTGATATTATGTTGAGAAAAGTGTTCAAGTTTAAATACTGAGATTGTTAAATATTAAGTTCTTATTATCCTAGTGATACTACTCTAAGAGCATCTGAAAATAAAAAAGGAATACAATTTTCACAAAATGATTATTCAAGAGAGATTAGTCCAGAGGAGAACATTATAAAGTCCAGAAGGGAAAACAATAGATAAGAGTGAAAGAAAATGATGATACAATACATGGAATTTGTTCAACTGTATGATTTTACAAATTAAAACAAATCTCCAAATGGACAAATTTCATGTTTCCATTGAGACACCTTTTTTATTCAGATACTATTCATTGTTTTCCCATTCGATTTAAGTTCAAAATTTGTGGTTTACATTTTTCAAGGAAACAGGAAAGGCACCAGTGAGGTATTAATATTCTCCCCTCTGCCAAGAAACAAATACTTCATGACATAAAAGAAGCACATCCAACCCTCAAGGAGCAAATAGTAAAACCCTTAAGAGTTTCCACTGCGTGGTTGGGTATCATAGGGCTACCAAGCATTGTCTGCTGACACTTTTGCCATTTTTCTCAACTCTTTGCAAGGTCTCCTTGGGGGCCAGGGATTTAGTTCAATGGTTCTGCCTCCTGCTTTGCAAACACAAGGTCCCGAGTTCAATCCCTGGTAAAAAAAAAAAAAAATCTATGCAAAGTCTCCTTGCTTCCTACAACTTAAATACTAAATACAATATGACAGCATTGAAAACATTTGTCTGTTCCTATGATTTTTCTTCTCCTCATGTTGTTCATACTTTTTTTTACCATATTCTTATCTTGGTTTTGATAACTCTTTTTCTTTTTAATTTATTGACCAGAACATCTGCTTCACTTTTGGGATATCACCTCATTTTGCCTTCTACAAAATACAGTCAAGTCTCTGGGGTCATTATAAAAAGTATAAATAAGAAAGATTTAATATAAATAGTCTTGAAATAGAGCATTTTGGTAGTAGCTTTACAAAGAAAGAAGATAGCTTCTTAACCCACTCAGACCAGATAAAGAGGAGCAATGTCAAACATGAGGAAGACTGTCAAACAATCAATAGATTATTTGCTAATTTTATGAATGAGGGAATTGAAGTATTGCAAGTGAGGCTTAGAGATTTGTCAGACATCTCTCACTAGTAACTGGAAAGAGAGGGGAAAGCCCCAAGTTACCTGAAAATTCCACAATGTTCCCACATCAGATTTCAGCATTGTCCTTGAACAGTGCACACAGCTTTTCACATCCAACTAGATCATGGAATTACTGAGTACACTGAAAGGGAGCCTAGTTTGCTTCTTTATTCATTTGAGTATTGGCAATTGTTTTCTTTGGCTATTTTTTCCTACTTTTATAAGTCATTAGTGTTTCTGAATAAATTTCAACATTCAGACACCACCAATATCTGCAGTCTACAAATATTTAATTTTCTGAACAGTTGCCAGTGGATTAGCCTGTGTTTTCACATTATCTTAATATACAAACATGTAGTTTTATTGAAGTTAATATATTTACTCTTTATCAAAAACAAGAATATAACTGAGGAATGTGGTGATTTTTCTTCTACATCTAGATACTAAAATCTGATTTCACTTTTATATACACATGCACAAACATGTATTTCCTCATTATCTTCTGAGCCAGTCTAATTCAGAGAAAATTTGTGGCAGTCTAAATTGATTTTCCTTATTATTATTAATACAACTATTATTAACAGTCTATGAACTCTCTGCTCAAGTAAGAGTGTTAAATGTGGCCAGTAATGTGTTGTAGTGATTAACACCCTAGACTTTGGCATAGGAAGAGCTCTTTACAAAGAATGTTAGAAGGAAGCATGGGCTCTACATACTTTTAGATCTTAGAAAAATTGCTTAATTTTCTTAGCTTCAGTTTCATCCTCTATTGAAAGGATGTGAAATTTTTTGATTAATGAGATCATTAGGCATATTAGAAATAACGTATATATAATATACAATATTTACTCCAGTTCCTAAATCACAGAAAACACTAAATAAAAGTAGAAATTTTTTATTTAGCTGAACTATTGCTTCACAATATGACAAACACCCTGTGAAGATTAATTAAAGCTAATAAAACAGCCTCTCATAATTTGTCTCACATATATATATATATGTATACCATGTCTGCCCCCCTTAAATCTCATTTTCTTCTATTACCAACAATGAGCATGAGTTGACCCTGGATTCTCCACTTCCTAATAAAACAATGGCCTTGTCTCTTCAGTCTATTTTAAATGTTCATCCATGGCTTAGCAGGCACATATAGATTGTAGTCCAGAGTTCTAACATGTGCACAACGTCTGTGTATGAAATCTCAAGTGAGATGCTGTACTACAGAGGGGAAGAAAGACATTCCTGTGAATAAAAAATGAGGTTTAGCACTCTCCCAAGGAAGGAACTATTTGTAGGCCTGTATTTTATTCTTTTATTCCAGAAAGGATTTGTTAACTCAGAGAACAATGTGAAATGTAAGATATTTGCATAAATTATAAAATGAGTGCAAAAGCGGAAGATTAAGAAGATGGAGTCATAGGGGAAAGCTAATAAGGGAAAAGAAAAATATGAGAAAATGAAGAAATGGAAATGAAGTGTTTGTAAAGGGGGAGGGAGGAGGGGTGAAGGGAGGGCAGGGACAAGGGGAAAAAATGAGAACCAAGACCTGTCATGTAAAGGTACAAGACTCCAATAATGAATGTAACTGTACTGTATGCCTAAAATGTACCAATAAATTCAGTGAGGAAAAAAAAAGAAGACAATGGAGTCAAAGCTGACAGCAAATTACAATTTATCTGGGACCTGGAATTCAGACACCTGGGAAACAATTACTTAGTGAAGAGAAAGAGAAGAGTTTGTGAAATCAAGAAAGAGCCAAGAGGAAAGCTAAACATCATGGAGAAACAAGACAACACAGACAAAAGAATGAAGCATTCTGGAAGCTAACCCCAGCCCCCAGGGAAGGGAACCAGATTCCACAAACACAGGGTAAGCCCGGAGAGGGTTGGCAGCACCAGTCATAAACTATGGACCAGCAGAGCCAGCTCGGTGGTGGGGGGAGCTATTTTGGGCTTCAGTGTGGGATTTTATTCTAAAAAGTGACTCTGTCCACATGACAGGCTAGCTTTGCGCAAGAAATCCACTTAACATCAGCCATCTCTTCAAGTGGCACAACCAGGAGCCATTTTTCAAAAGGGATTTATTGTTTAAGACTGAGCTACTCTACAAATGAGAAAGCACAGAACAACCGTACCGCAGAGTCTCTGAGGTCACTTTAGCCAAGTTGACTGGGAGACAGCCACAGGAGGTAGTTGTGAAGAGGGGAGGAGCCGAGTTTAAGCGGCATTTCGGGTTGTGGAGGACCCAGTAGTCCATCCTCGGTGGTGAGAAGTTAGAGTGGTTGTGTGGCATCTTCTGATGGGGTACGCTTGAAAGTGCAGGTATTGAGTCCTGCAGACTGCTTGGCTCCCCTCCCTGACCATTTTCAGCACAGAACTCATTGGTCTGTTTGCTTTTCCTGCCTGCCAATGTGACCAGAGATATACTCCTGCTTGGACATTTGCCAGGTCTCGGTATATGGCAAGAAGGGGCCACCAGAGTAAGCAGAGGACCTTAGAAGCCCACAGGCTACAAAGTTACTGTAGTTTTAAATAGAAGCTCTCCTGTGTACACAAATGGCACAAACAATAAAGGCTCTGGGGTAAATACACCCCTGAGGCAGGTAATATGCCATTGACTGAGATAGGCAGGGCAAGATTCAGCATCCACACAACTAACAGTGGGTATAGAAGCTCAATAGGGCCACAGTGTGACTCACTATCCCTCCTCTAAATCTAAATCGTTAGATTTTCAGGATAACTTTTCTTTCCTGTTCTCATCTTCCTTTTCTCTTTTTAAAATTTTGTTTCTCCTTCCCCCACACCTCCATTTTTATCATAATTACTATAGCCTTTATTAATGTTGAGCTTTTACCTTACTCTATATTATTTCTGATTTCTATTTTAATGGTGGTATACTTACTGCTTTTAAATTTTATTATGCACTTATATCAATTATGTTTTTGTTTCTATATTATTCTTGCTAATTTCTATTACTGGTGACATCATTGTTGGTTTCAATTGGGTTTTGCTATATATCAATATCTGGGTTGTCTTTACATTATTGTGGCTCATTTTCTTTTCTCTGAGTGGTGTTGAGGATCAAGCGTCTCCAAAGAAGGCTGGACAATAATAAGACCCTCAAATACAAGTGGAAAACATATCCATCCTAGCAGATGCACAAATCTCAATATAGAAGCACAAGAAGTATGAAAAAACAAAGCAACATGATTCCTAAAGTTCCATAATTCATCAGAAACTTAATGCAGTGATATCAAAATTGATGAGATGCCAAAGAATTCAAAGGAGTAATTTATAAAATGATGAATGACTTCAAGGAAATAAACAACTAAATGAATTAAGGAAGACAATGCAGGATATGAAGAAATAGTTGAACAAAGAGAGAGATTCTGAAGAAGTGCCAAACAAATTCTGGAAATAAAATGCACAGTAAGTGCTTTTGAATAATAAAAAAAAAAAAACTCAGTGGAAAACCTCACCAAAAGACAGGACCAAGCAGAAGACAGAATTTTGGGGCAGTGATTCCCTAAGATATAATGCAGCTGACAATTTCCTGTCTCCTAGTGTCACAATGCAAAACATTATTCATATGTTTGTGGCGATGCTGGTATAAACAATTTTCTTTTTTAATCATATTTTTACCATACCATTTTTATGTTTTCAGGTATGGCTGCCTACAGTTACATGCTATAAAGATTTGCAGCCTAGGATCAGGAAGCTACCCCACACAGTGCAGGCACGTAGTAGACTATACCATCCAGGTTTGGGTAAGTATATTTATGATATTTTCACAACCATGAAAGAAACTAGCAATGCATTTCCTGGAACATATCGCACCCATGGTGAAGCGACACACAACTGTAAATAGCTACTTATTTGTCTTTCTGTGACACAACACAACACAAGAGAAATAATAGTACACCTTCCATATGAGAGACTCTAAAAATGCTAAAATGTGAACTTGTTTGTTCACCTTCCAGTGATCCTTATGGAGGGATAGGTGGGGCATTTACAGTCAAGCTCATGGATAAAGGAAATAACTAGAGTCAGGTTGCTTGTGAGAGCAGCATGACTTAGGCAGAGCAGATGTCTTGGTGTTGACTCTCTCTTCCTCTGATTTGATCCCAGTGTTCCATCTTGTTTATGTCTAGAGATTCTTGCACACACACACACACACACACACACAGCCTCATACTCTTACAGTTGGGGCTCTGGGAGGTGATTGGATCATAGGGCATGATACTCATCGGTGGATTAGAGTTTATAGCTAAATGTGATGTTGGGAGGTAAACCCTGGTTAGAGGAGGTGGATCCCTGGGGGTGTTGCTTGGGTGGGTGTATTTCCCTCTCTCTTCCCTTGATCTCTCTTTCTGCTTCCTGCTGCCATTCTTCAAGCTTTTTCTCCTCTACCACACTCCCTTGCCATGCTGCCATGCCTTGGAGCCAGCAGACTATGAACTGAAACCTCTCCTCCTTTAAATTGTAGGTGCTGGGTGTCGTATCTCAGCAACAAGAAATTAACCAAGATTGTACTTGCCCTGCCTGTACTCAACCACAGGACAGTCTTAATACCTACTGATCATCAACCCACCCTGAACTGTCATTTGTTGAAACCTTATGGCGAAACCTCTATCTCAAAATTGAGACAGTCATTCATCAATGTCAAAAACAAAATTCCATGCGGGTGCCTGCCTTGAAAAAAACTGAATTCCCATCTGGCAAGATCCTAATGAACAAAGGAAAGTTTTATGTTTAATGAAGCAATTCCCTTGTAGTAGATTTTTTTGACAGCTGTACCTTGGGGCCATCGCAGTTCTGGCTGCATTGCTAAAGCTTCCCAAAACAGACAAAATCCTCAAACAAACATGTATTGAAGTATTGAAATGCACAAGACACAACTGTTCCTTTTCCTCTTTCTGATTCCACAGAATGAGATAGAATTTAAATCAAAAATTAAACTGAGGTTTAGCTACCCAATTTCTCTTTATAGTGTGCATTTTGGCAAACTATTGCACGCTCACTAAAAAAAAATAAAACTAACTAAATAAGAAACAGACATATATACTTAGGAAAAGGTTTCGTGAAAAAATAAAAGATATTTCAGAATCCTTAAGGACAATGGTGTGAGAACCCTGAATGTGTGTCATGATGTACGCACACATAGGGTGTGTGTGTCTGATTCCTATTACAGAAAATAAATTGTAATATCGAAAGTAAGAAAACAGTAGGAGAAAAACATTGGGCAAGTCCAAGAGCGGTAAAAAACTATCACACTGTGGTTCCTGAATTTATCAGGAAGAGTACAGATTGGGCTCCCCAGCATGCATAAGAGAAGAAGTGCAAGATTTCAATCAATATCCTAAGATATGTTTCTCCAAGTACATTGTTTTCCTATGAATGATATTAGCTATGAGTAACAGAAAATCCAAAACAGATAAGGAGCTGCTTAAATCCTACAAGAAGGCCAAGGGAGATGTCCGGTGTGGCCATATCATCTGGCCATTCCAGAGCATAACCTTTTCTTTTTCTCATCCTCAGCTCATGCAATTCAAATTCATCATGAAAATGTTTTTCTTTGCCAGCATTGATAACGGAGAAGAAGCTGACCAAGTGAACAAGCCTCTCTCTTTTAAAACTGTGCCCTTAATCCTAGCTCTTTCACGACTTATCATAACTATGTTATTTCCCTGAAAGCAAGCTTGAGGTAAAGGTGTAGCTGCAGAAAGTCTGGGTGAGAATGGAATTCCAGGAATCAGATATACGGAATGAGATAAACTGGGCAGGGGGAAAATGTTAATGGAAGGCTAGCTCCTCCAGTAGGCTTTCCAAAGAAATTCTGACAAGCCTCCTAAATGCCTCTCGGTACTATACACTTGGCAACCCCATGGGGAAGCATTAGTCCATCAGCTGCCATCCCTGAGTAGCCACAGGTACCATCGTGAGTACTAACATCTGATGGAGCGCAGGAATTGCTACCCCAAAATACAACACCTGGGCATATTGAATGTTTTCTCCTGAAGGAAACTGAGAAAACTGCAGAAGCATGACAGTTTCTTTTATCTCTCCCAAGAGATCAGAAGCAGGCCATAGTTCCTCTCACCAATTCTGCCTGAAATCAGGCTATAAAACATATCTGACCTTCCCCGAAGTAGGTCTTAAGATCCTCATGTGTCCCATTCTCAGAGGAAATAAATAAAGACATAAAGATGCCAAGAAGAATTTAAACAAACAGGCGGTCTCCATATATTCTATGTTGCTATAGCAGAGTACTGCAGACTGAATAATTTAGGAAGAACAAAGATTTATTTATTGCACTGTGAGGGGCCAGGGAGTCCAAAATAAAGGTGATGCATCTGTCAAGGCCCTTCTTGTGGCATAATCCCATGGTAAAGGGAAAAGGGGCAAGAGGGTATGTGACAGAAAGAGAGGATGGGAGAGAGGGAAGGAGGGCGGAAAGCAGAGAGATGGGGAGTAAATGAGCAAGCGAAAGCAGACTACAATCACCAATTATCTTAAATGAGTCGCTGTTGAGGTAACTGGTCAAGGAAGGAAGAGGAAGGAAGATGTGCTTGGAAGAACAGGACAGTAAATGACTGAGTTATAGGACCAAGACGTCCATCTTAATCCCTGGACTCAGCAGGAGGACTCTCCCCTGTGTGCGTGACAAGGATGGAGAAGCAGCCAATAGTACTGGCTCCACTGAAGTTTGGGTGAAAGCGATAGAAGTTATCTGTAACTCAACTACACACTTGCCAGTATTTTTTCCCCCTTTCTTTCTTTCTAAAAAAGATGCTAGGCATTGTGTGCGTGACAAGGATGGAGAAGCAGCCAATAGTACTGGCTCCACTGAAGTTTGGGTGAAAGTGATAGAAGTTATCTGTGACTCAACTACACACTTGCCAGTATTTTTCCCCCTTTCTTTCTTTCTAAAAAAGATGCCAGGCACCCACAGGGAAATAAGAAATACCAACTGTACCTAAAGTTGAATGGTTTGTCTTTACGTAGATTTTCATATAGTGCTGCCAGAGTGCTGCATACTTTCTTTGATTGCCAGTCCCATTTGTTTCAGTTACCTTCTTTAACAGGAAAATTCAATACAAAAATGTGTTGTAATGTGTCTTTTTATGTGCTATAAAATTCAAAGACAGACACAC